AGACTAGCTCTCCGAGCGTCGCTGGGGGATACCCCCAGACCCCCGGGTGTCGATCATGAGTGTTTTCGATTTCGGAAGCTGCAGTGGTCTGGTCGTCAGTCTCGACTCTCGAGCTGGTGGGTGTGTGATAAGGAACTCTGATAAGGTTAGGACCACCGTGGTTCGACGTGGTAGCAAGGTAAGCAACAACGTTCGACGACAACGTTCTTTACTGCCGCCGGAAATTCAAAATTCCATAAAAAAAAAATAAATCGTTGTTGTATTTTTGTGGGTGTCTAGCAGGTCAGTCACCTCGAATGACGTTCGCCGTAGTAATAGTATTTGGGGTCTAGCGGGTCAGTCACCTTCCTCGACTTTGGTCATGAGTAGTATATATTTGTATGTTCACAGCCAGCTTTTCCAGGGAAAAAAAAAAAGTTCAAGGGGGGAATGTCCCCTTGGAGCACTCAGATTTACCGTGTAACACAATTTCATACTGATTGACTACCAAATTTCGTCTCAAATTTCGTCTATTTAATATTTTTTTCTTTTTTACTCGTGTTGGTTACACTGTTTTTTTATCTAGAATTTGATAAACAAATTTACAATAATTTTTAAAGTTGATTATTTTTTTTTTTATTATATTCAGTTACTAATGAACTATCGTTCACTCAAGTTGTGTCTCATTTTTCTTTATTTTCTCAAAGTTTTATTAAATTGGATAAGTTATTTAATTTCTTCAAAAATGAATTTTCAAAAATGCACAAACGATATCCAGTCATTGGTCGATCAAATACGATTCAATTCATCGCCAGCGTATCCAGAATTCTCTACATTTGTATCGAGGTTACGAACTTTTAGAAGTTTCCCTTCAAATACCGGACAGAATAAGTACAAACTCTCGGAATGTGGATTTTACTATATCAATCTCGACGATGCAGTTCAATGTCATTGGTGTGGAATAATTCTACATAGTTTTGAAATCGGTGATAATTGTTTCATAGAACATACTCGATTCTCACCTAGATGTTTATTTGTATTGTTAATGAAAGGAAATCAGTTTGTTCAAAAAGTCTTAAGTAAATATTGTAAAACCGAAGTTATTTGTAATTGTGAAACCGGTTCGTACGACACCATTTGTTAAATCATGTTTTTTTTTTTTTTTTTAAATGTTTATATATAGGTACATATATTTATGCTGCTTATAATATTTGCTGTATTGGATAAAAAAAAAATAAAACAAAATTGAATTTTTTATCTTAAATGTGTTAATATTCGATTTAATATCTCGTGGACATACAGTCCTAGCGAATTAGTGCGTATAAAATAATTTAAAATGTTTTTCAGGTAACAGGTTAGTAAGTATATGTAAATTCCCTCTCTTGTACGCACTCATTGGCTATCTGTATGTTCACATTTTTTGCATTTTTTCCAGAGTTTTTTAGTATATAATATGACTGCAAAGGGAACAAACTAGCAGTTCAATGTATAACTCCTAACAGTTATATCCCACTTCTTATTTATAAAAGATTTTTTTTTAAATTTGTCAAAAATAACTTCACCATGAGTTCACCAATAATTGTCTGTAAGTCTACATTTGACATCCGGGCTTTTAACAAGAAAAGTATTACAGTTGGATTACTAATTAACAAGCAGATTTCAATTATTTTATTATTGGAATGTAAACTTACAAAGAAAATTATCACATTAAGTTTAGAAGAATGGTTTACACTGATGTCTGAACCTAATTACAATTCGATTATTAATAATTTAAATACTAGGGTGAGGCGTGTAAAAATCACCGATTCCTTTTCATATTCAACCAATGTTAAACAGAGTTTAATTACCCTACATCTAAATGAGGAATACATTACCTTGTCACATGTAGATTTGTACCGACTTCGTCAATTACAGAATTTGATAGATTTGTACGTGGTAGACAAGCAAAAACGTTTAGCAAATTATCAAAATACTTTCAACACTGCATATGACCTAATTAAAAATGATGTCCGTGGTCTGCCGTCCACCTGTCAAAGGAACGAATTTACCAACCAATATATTCAAAACTATGATTTTAATTATTATAATCACCTACAGAACGATGACACATCATTTTTATATGAAATATTACAATTCCATTTTAACACATTGTCTGATATGATTTTACAAGACCTAATATCATAAAAAAATATTTAAATATGTATAATTGTTTTTTTTTTTTAATAAAACTTTTATTCAATAATAAACTTGCTTTTTATTTTAATTACATCTCACCTTAAATCATAAAGAATAGTTTTAATAAGTTTTAGTTTTAATTTGTTAATATTTTAATTTTTTTTCCAACCAACCATAGTTTATAGGTTTATGTTTTCCAAGACCTTTAAGTTTTGAATAAATAAAAACATACATGTATAATAATATTTTGTTTATTAAATGAAACTCATTTTTTCATATAATAATCAAACGGTCGTCTTGCTTTTAATAGTCTGACGCTTCGGATCGGTTAGTAATTTGTCAAATATGGTTTGCATTGCCTCATTAAGACCAGTATGAAGCGTTTGATCTTTTGATTCATCGCTTGTATACAATCTGACAGTAGCTTCACTGAACTTCCATCTATAACACCAAATTATTTTATTTTAAAAACAAAAGAAGTAAATAAAATCAGTGAAAAAAAAAATAGATTCATCAATAGGTTTTTTAAATTTAAACCAATGTATTTACCTGTCTTTTACTGGTACATTCTCAATGTTAGCAACCTTATAGTGGCTAATTACCCAAAGCTCCTTTGCTTTTTCTCCAAAAGGTGACTTGATTGTTACAACACCACCGTCCCCTTGTCTAAATGTTAGCGAATTAATTAACTCGACATCAAATTCTTCTGATCTCAAACGTTCGGTAACATTATCTCTGTATGATGCATTCTATAAAAAAATTAAATTATTTATGCTATCATTATAATAAATATTATTTATACTACCATTTTATTCTGCTTTTTTTTCATAGGTTTTTTCACACTTGTTTTTTCTGCAGTACGTTTTAGACCAGGTTTTGTTTTTGAAAAAGACGGTCTCATATCAATTGATTCGCTGAAATGTTCATTCTATGAAACATAAAACATAGTATATTATTTTTACTATTTTTTCATTTTATATTTTCTATGTTCCAAGAATTATAACCAAAGCGTTGAGTAATGTCACGACTGACCTCCAATATGCTTTAGTTACTATATAGTTTTTTAAACTATGCTATAATCAGGCATTTAATATTATTTTAAGAATTATAACCATAGCGTTGAGTAGTGTTACGACTGACCTCCAATTAGCTTTGGTTATAAGATATTTACTAAGTAGTTACTAACCTCTGAATCAGTTGAAGCAATTGTACGGTACGACATCTTTTTTGGTAGTATCTCTGTTGAACTGAGCTGCTTGTCCTGGAATGAAATCTTGAAGACTGGTGAATATCAGTGAATTCCCTCTGTATTTTATACACAGATTTTGCCACTACTTCAATAATTTAAAATGCAAATTTCCACAGCAATGACCTTACCTTACAGAAACCGGTGGAAACATGTACATAGAGGTACAACAGGAAATTACATTATATGAATTTAAATTGTTGCTATCATAAATTGCTTTTGTAACGAACATGTTACACTTTCATATTATAATTAGGTGCACTATATGAATGTAAATTATTACAATCAGGATTTAAAATAATTTACATACACACCAATGTCATTCTAATATGAAAACAGAATATGTAATATATTAAAATGTTTAAATTCATTCTAAAAAAGTTTCTGATATGAACAGAGAGGGGCTATTTTCGGGTATAAAACACAGAATTTCTTAGCTTATCGTCATCAGTTCAAGCAACAGCAGAACAGCATTCTTCGCCAACCAATAGTCAGCCAGCAGATTATCAGACCTCTTCAACAAGCCATCATACTTAGAAAAAAATACTTAAATTTCCACAAGCTATGTAAGTACTATTTTTATATTGTTATTTATTAAATTTAACATCTAAACTTCTTTTTTAAAATAAAAAAAAAATATTTAAAAAAAAAATAGAATAATAACAATGTATCGTTGTAATATAGCTTTATAATATTACTATGATCGTTATATCATGTAGGTATGACTTTAGATAGAAATTCTATCTTAAACAGTGTCACGAACTAAGATATTATCTTAGTTCATGCTTATTATTGATAATTATTGTAACTTAACCTCAAAATCTGACTGCACTAGTACACACTGGTGTACTGCCCTCCTACTGGGAAAAGCAGTAACTACAAAAATCATTTTTTGGGGAAATTGAACTTTTGTGTTTTTATTATTTTTGTAATTAATTTTAAGATTTTAAGTATATCTTTAGACTGAAACAGATGGACATTTGTGCTGGAAATTCAAAAATGCTATTCATTTTGTGATTAATAAATTATTTTTGACAGTTTTCACATAATAATGCAGTTACTGCGTTTCACGTTAGCATTACGCACATAATATCATATAGTGGTACAATTTATAAAATACAGTATTTTACCAATATCATATTATAACTGCTAGTAGAAAATGCAGTTACTACAAAAAATTAACACCAATAATAAAGATACTTCTTTATCACAAAGTTTAAAACTTTTTGTTTAATAAATTGAATGAATATAATATATTTTTATAATAAAATTATTTTTAAAAAAAATATAACTTAATTTTTATAGTTATTAAAACAAAAGAAAACATAATATAAATACCTATTAATTATACAAAACCAATACAAAATACAAAATAAATAAAATACTATTTAATTGTTATAATAATAGAAAACAATATGAAAAATAACAAATCACAGTAAAAACTTAATTTAAGGAACCTTTGTTTATAATATCATGGTAAAATACATAATTATTTATTGTTATATAAAATTTGAAAAAAACAACTGATCATAACTTTAACAATTTAAATTTACCATAGGTATTATTATGTATTTCTAATAAAATGTTATGCACATTTAAATCAAAAAACTGGTAAATTTTTCCAAAAAACTTTCCTGTCTTCTGGTAAGACTTGGTTAAGGGTATTTAAGATATCATTTCTTTTAGACTCAGAAATTCCACATGGAGCTACTTTAGCTGGAGGCATTAGTATTTGCTTATTAATAAATTTGCTTTTTAAAAAGTCTAAACGCCCATAATTTTCATCGTTCAAATTAGTTTTGTATAAAAGATCATACTGTCCTCGTACAGCTCTAATAGTAATTATATTTTTAAGCATCACACGGTTAGCTTTTTTATTTGTCTTTTTGGGGGACTTATTATCAGTCCACAAAAAAAAATCATCATGTTCCATACATTTTACAATAACCTCTTTTTTTGCATTTTTTACAGCATTAGCAAAATCTTGGAAGTCATATGTTTTTTTTTGTTTCTTTAGTGCTTTTTCAACCTGGTGATGAAAGTTATCCGCACTCATGAAGGTGTGACCAGGTTCAAAAAAATATAAGTCAATAAATTTAGATTTTATTTCATTAGAATTAATTATAAAAACTAAAAAACTTAATAATGCCCAATTTTTATTCTGACTTGAACAATTATCCAACCAGAGCACAATGTGTGGAATATCTCTCAATTCTTTGAAAAAAACATAGAAAGTACTGATCAAATCCTCTTTGTTTCTACCACTAATGGCTTCGTGCCAAATACAAGCTAAGGTATTATGCTTTGATTTCGGACCAAGGGGAACAAAGCTTTCATGGTAAGCTACTAACCTTCTGACAAATATTACTTTCTTAAATGCATCTGCCCGAGGTAGCATAATAACTTTTTGCAAATCTGCAGAATAATAAACTATATCATCGGTTAAAGCTGCTGCAGCAGCGTGTTGTTGATACAAAGCTCTAGCATTAGTATAACGGGTAGAATGTTCAATTTTAATTTTACAAATATCACAGTCAAGGGTTAATGATTCATCATTATGTTCATGAAGCTTAAATGACTCACAAACTTCACACTCTTCATTACCTAGAGTTGCAAATGAAATATGTTTTTCTTTTAGTTTTTGTCTATAAAACTCATATGAAATATTACAGTCTGGATTTTTTTCAATGAAAGAAGAATGCATGAGGGATGCATTAATGTCACTTGGTAGGTATCTAGTATTTGGTGCATGCTCCCTGCGATAATGCGAAATACTAGGATTGAACTCTTCAATATTTGAATTAACTAAATCATGTGCTATACTATTATAATTGCTATTGGTATATTTAGTTTTCAATGAATGTCTATTAGAAGGTGGGCATAAGTCTCCTATGGGTGTTTTATGAAGAATGTCAAAAACTACCCGGTCATTATTTTTTTTGTAACCAAAAGTTGTAAGGAAAAATGTTTTACATACTTCAATATTTACTGAATTTTCATTTGTTAAATGATATTTGTAAGTAAATGTTTTGTTTTTAATTCCTATAGAAACTTTCCTTTTAACATTTAGTCTTTCACACAAATTAAAAATAATATCCCGTCTCTCCTTCCATGTTAGTTTCCAAAATTGCAAGTTAATTTCAAACCTTCTTTTTTCACTAATTTTTGTTGTACATTTCTTCCTACAGGTTTGGATACATGGTGGGAGAACTTTATGTTTAAGCTTAAGTACTTCTAACATTCTCATTTGTCTATCCTTCAATCCAACGTTGTATTTCTTTCTGATCCTTGGATTGCCATCTTTTCTGAATAATTCAACTGCATCCAATTGTTCACTCAATTGATTAATTATTGTTAAATCATTAGTATCACATTGTCCTAAAAAATAATTTTTTATATAAACTTTATAAGAAAAATAAGGAGAAAAACAATATATTTAGTTAATTAAAATCCAAAAATAATTTGCAGAGCTGTATTATAAATAAATACAAATTATTACCTGGATCATTATATTCAAATATAGTTGAATCGAGTTGATTTACTTCTGTTTCAGCTGATTTTACATTGTTATTTTCTATAAATGCAGTTGAGTTTAATTCAGGTTCATATAATATTTCAATAGGTAATGAATTCACATCAATAAACATGTTTATGGCAAATGATAACAACAAAGTGCTTGTGATACTAGAAGAAAACGCAGTAAAAGCATTTAATGTTTTTGTCCTAGCGGTAAATGCAGTAACTACAGTGTACATACTGCTTTTAATTGTAGGAATTGTTAATTACTGCGTTTTAGTCTAGGAAAGGTAGGATTATTGTAAACATACTGTAGTTACGACATTTGCAGATTGAGTTTTAAGCCACTAGATGTCGTATATTCTGTATTAAACCTTAATAAAACTATACTCAGAATAATCTCATTAATAATATAACATCAAAACCTCATTTTTGACATTTTTGTAGTTACTGCTTTTCCCAGTAGGAGGGCAGTGTAGTGGTGTACACTGTCTGGTGTACACTGTCTAGTGTCTGGTCGATACCGTGAATTTCAATGGTGTGGTCAATTATGTGATTATGGAATCAGTGTTCACGTGTAGTGTGTACTAGTAGTCAGAATATGGAAAAACGCTATTACGGTTATCTATAGTTTATCAACGTTGAAATACTTTCGCTGATTATAAATATTTGGTATTGATAATGTGATAGTTGTATTATACGTGTAATATTATTTTACGTAAAAATGTTTTAATTAGAAAAAAAAAATATTCAATAATGTTTACTGTCTGTATAAAAAAAATATATAATATCCTAAAACGTATATAATATATAAATTTAAATTATTTTTGTTGCTTTTACATCGAGATTGATCGAAAGCCGCGGATACACGGTGGTAGTAAACACGATAGTTGTTACTATCACACTATTACGATGAACTAGCATAGAAACTATCACGTATTTTCTATTATCGTGTGATCACGGTTTCATTAGTAATTAAAAGTATGGTTCTATGTTATAAATACTATAATATTGCCTAGTTAATATTTTAACTGTGATGTGAAAACTTGTCAAATAATGAGTTAAATATAATATAATATAATATTGTAATGGGATTACGCAATATCATATATTTTGCTCATAATAACAACCAGGAATGCGACCACACCCAAAAGTGTTTTCGACTACGAATACCACTTTCATAGTCGAGAGGTCCATATCAAGGACGACTGTACACGCGCCGCTCACTTTCAAAGGACGCCGTCACCATATATATAGGGGACAGCGAGACAGCCTGAGTTAGATGTATCCAGAGACGAGAACACCACACGACTCGCTTAGCCGCCCAGCCATCACACACGACTTACACGGAGATTATCAACTTCGGAACGAGCTACAAATTCACTACAATCAACACTATTATTCTGCTTGTTTTGCCTGGTTTAATATAATACATTTGATTACCATTCTAATTGACTATTATTATTTATCAAGTACACCAAGCTTTTGGATCCCTGAAGGGCCGCATGTAACACTGGCGCAGTCGAACGTAGGATTCCACAAAGGGAGGCAACCATCAAAGGCTACTGTCAACAACGAAGAATTGATCACTCTTCAGCGAAGACAACTCCAGGAGGAACCAACAAAAAACAAATAAGTCACATTGCAGTACCAACAAATCCATTAGCAGCATCATCAACGGCAACATGTCATCATCAGCCATGAACGCAGCATTATTGTGAGTGAATAGTTATTTAAATTTGTTACATAGACGTATGCAACATAATTAAGACATATTAAGATAAATCTAGGTAGTTGATTATAAGTGTAATGGTGTAAACCGTTTTAAATTTTATTGAGGGCATATTTTATTGATTATTATTGAAGTTTATTGAGGGCATATTTTTATTGAAGTTATTATTGATTATTATTGAAGTTTATTGATTTATTGAGGGCATTTTTATTATTGAAGTATTATTGAAGTTTATTGAATTTATTAGAGGGCATATTATTGAAGTTATTATTGTATTTATAGGGCATTATTGAATTTTATTGAGTATTATTATGATTATTAACGTATTAAATAGGTGGTTAAGTTAATTTATGGACAAAGAAGATACATCTCCCTTGAACGTAGCTAATTCATTGTATGACACTAGTGTAGTAGAAGAAGCCCAGTTAGAAGCCCAGTTATTAGCCCAGAGAGAAGCCCAAGCCCAGTTTGAAGCCCAGCAGAAAGCCCAGTTAAATACTATAGTAGATACCAAGTTAGTAGGTAGCACAAGTAAAACCCCAAGTCCACAATTAGGAGTAGTCACACGTAGCAAAGTCACAGATAGTTTTGAACATCAGTCGTTAGATTTTATATCTAAATCACGCAATAAAAAAATGGCAGTAACCATAAAATTAGAGGACGCTTTTAAATTAATTCCAGTATGCACAGGGATAGACGATATTTACCAATTCATAAATGCATGTGATATGGCAGTAGGTTTAGTCGACGCAACTAGCGCACCAATATTAGTAAAATATATCACTACGCGATTAACGGGTAGAGCACTAGAAATGATTAAATATAAAAACGTAACAAAATGGCAATTTATAAAAGCATATTTAACAGACGCATTCGAAGTAACAACCAATGCATCGTCGTTACAACTTCAATTAAATTCGATTAGAATGAATCACAATGAGGATGTAAACGATTATTGCCATAGAGTAGAAAAACTATACTATCAGTTATGTACCGTAAGCACATTAAACAAAGAGGCGACAGAAGCAAAAATTATACATGAAACATTAAGAGACCAAACTCTAGCAGTATTTATTAAAGGATTAGTAGAACCGATTAGAACGATAGTAAAATCTCGTAATGCTAAAACTCTTGAAATCGCGAAACAAATCGCTATGTCAGAACAGGTAGAATTAAGATTAGAACAGGAAAATAGGAAACATTATTCGAGTAGTTATTCGCAAAACAATAACCAACGTAGATCGAATTATGAAAATAGGAACAACAGGAACGTAAGACCAAATAACTTTGTAAGGCCGAATAATTTTGCGCAAAATAATTATCCACGAGCAAACAATTTCTCTCAACCAATTAATAGACCACCAATAAAATGTTATAACTGCAATGGAAACCATTTTGCATCACAATGTAGAAATAATTCGAGACCTAACTACGCGAGCAACGGAAATAACAACCGTCCACCTAATAGAAATAATTTTACGCAACCGCCGACAAATTATAATGCACAACCAGTTACGTGTTCATATTGCAATAAAATCGGTCATAATGTAGATTCATGTTACAAAAAGAGAAACGACGAAAGTAGAAATAATTCGGGAAACGCCAACGTGTCGAACGAGGTACGCGGTACTCGCACGATAAACCAGATTATCGCGGAACAGCCGACGAACGAATATTTCACATATTCGCAAAACTAGAAAATAATCATATAACATTCGATTCTAATGCCGCAAAAACAAATCAATTACATTTAATGATAGATACAGGTAGTCAGGTAAATATTCTCAAAATAAATTGCTTACGCGAAGAACTAGAAGTAGACGAAACGCAAAAAATAAATCTACGCGGTATAAATGAATGTCTTACAAAAACCATAGGGAAAATATCAATATTAATTAAATTAAATAGCGAAAACATTGAAACAGAATTTCATATCGTAAGTGCACGATTTCCAATACCCAAGGACGGAATATTAGGAAACGATTTCTTGTCGAAAAATAACGCAAAAGTCGATGTAGCAAACAACAAATTAATTATTCAAACGACCTCGCATGCGCTAACAAATTTCAAGGAGACTGACAAAACCAGTTTTATTAAATTAAATCCGCGGACTGAAACTATTGTAGGAATACAGATAGCTGACCCACTCATAGAAAGCAAAGAAATATTTATACATAAGCAAGAACTAGTAAAAGACGTATATTGCAGTAGTACAGTATCTATCGTTAATAATGGTAGGGCAATAGTTAGCATGTTGAATATCTCGGAAGAAACGAAAAATATATCTGAATTTGATTTAAATAAAATACTCTTTGATACTGAATACGAAATATATAATGTAGAATCGACAAATGATCATAAAGAACGAATAGAACGTTTGAAACAAGTAATAATAACTGACCACATGGACGAAATTGAAAAACAATCTATTTACGAAATATGCGAACGATATAATAACATATTTCATTTGGAAGGGGATGTATTAACATTTACCAATGTCGGTACACATTCTATTAAGTTAAAAAAGGATCAGCCACCTATCTATCGTAGACCTTATAGATTACCACACGCACAACAGGAGGAAATAAATTCACAAATTCAAAAAATGGAAGAAAATGGAATTATCGAGAAATCGAGAAGTCCATGGAATTCCCCACTATTATTAGTACAAAAGAAAATGGACAATTCAGGAAAACAAAAGTTTAGAGTAGTAGTAGACTTTAGGGCACTTAACGAAGCTACTATAAATGAATTTCACCCTTTACCAAATATTACAGAAATACTAGATCAACTAGGAAATAGTCAATTATTCTCTCTATTAGATTTATCGAGTGGTTTTTACCAAATTTTGATGGAAGAAGACTCACGAGAGTTAACAGCCTTTTCGACTAACCAAGGTCACTGGCATTTCAAACGAATGATACAGGGAATGAAAACGAGTCCCGGAACCTTCCAAAGAGTTATGAATTCAGCTCTGGCAGGTTTAATAGGAATAAAATGCTTAGTATACTTAGACGATATAATAGTATATGGGAAAAATTTATATGATCATAACGAAAAATTAATAGAAGTTTTCGAGCGTTTACGAATAAGCAACTTAAAATTACAACCAGATAAATGCAACTTCTTAAAAAGAGAATGTGTATATCTAGGACACGTTATTACGAAAGACGGAATAAAACCCGACGAACGTAAATTAAAAGCAGTAGTGGAATTCCCAATACCAACAACCGTAAAAAACATTAAATCATTTTTAGGATTAAGTGGTTATTATAGGAAATTCATAAATTCATATAGCGCAATAGCAAAACCACTAACCAATTTATTAAAGAAAGACACGAGTTTCGTATGGAGTAACGAATGTCAAAAGTCATTCGATACCTTGAAGGCAGCGTTATGCTCAGAACCAGTTTTAAAATATCCGGATTTCACAAAGACCTTCTTATTAACTACAGACGCGAGTAATAAAGCACTCGGGGCTATTTTATCTCAAGGAGAAATAGGTAA